GAGAGAGAGAGAGAGACTGATTGGAAGTGGGTCCTGTGATTGTTTTGGCTTTGATCTTGGATCAATTTACCGGGTATACGCGCGTATGTACTCGAACCCTCCGACGCGACGCTCCGTCTCGAACGCAACCGACCCTATGAACGTGCACACAGAGAGACGGCTCCGGCTTCGCACACCAGCCACACAGTTCACGCTCACGTACCTACGTCGGGCACGTACGCACGTACACACCAACCGATTGATATAGAGCCATGAACCTTCGTGAAAACCTTACCCTCTCCGCGTCACGAGCCAGCTTGAGGATTCCTCTCGGACCGACCGACCGACTGACGTAATCCAGCGACAGCGTCTTACCCCACCCTGTAAAACGATACGCTTGAGATCCCATTGCTGGGGAAGCCATTACCTGACGCTGTCTATCGGAGGAAACGATCTTCAGCACGAGGACAAACACACATCCTCTTTCCTCTCGGATCTCCTGCCGTGGATTTCTGCGCGAGCAAGTCGAGCACAGGGAAATGGCCTGGCGACCCGACATTTTCCGCATGACCTGCCCGGATGCCAATACCCGAGTTTTTTTTTTTTCTTTCTCGTAAAAGTTGCAAGCACCTCCGCGTTGTGATGATCGCGAGACCGAGACAATCGACCGCGTGTTTGCCGATTTGATTCTATCATTTCGCATTCGTAGCAGCAAACGGTTATTTGTCTAAGAACACACGATAAATTAACTCGAAAAAAATCTAATTCTTTTGTACGATTTCGTACAGATTTGATCTTTCATGATATTATTTTCCCGTGAGAAAAATTTTGCCCGACCGTTGAGTTAAAATGTTTTAAAATGAGATATGTAAATTAAGAAATGACTGCGCACTAATTTCTAACAAAATTTAACTTCTCTAAAATCCTCTTTTCCTCTTTTTTTTTTTTATTAACGTTCTCAATAACTAAATTGGCGCTAAACGCAACGGAAAGATTTATCACGGAAAGGAAGGAGTAGTTTAAGAGTGTTATCTTACTCGAGGCGACTCGGTATACGTCGGTAATAATTTTCAGCGGATTAAAAACTCCGCGTAAATTATTCAAGATAGAATTACAAAAAGTGCAAGCGTCGATTGGCGCCGTTGAGTTAGCAATTACTTCATATATCGCGTTATATTAGTTAGCCGGCGCGTTATATTAGTTCCGTGGGGTTACGTAAAAGCCGATTCTTCGATTTAATTAATTCTCACAGCCACGGAGTTCCGTCGTTTTCGTTTCGTCGTACCGCCGAACCGGCGTTTTAATCGAGAGAGATGGAAAACCGTATTATTAAATCGGCGGGGTCGAATTAAAAGTGTTCTCGGCATGTCGAGCGTGGTAGTCTGAAAACGAAGCTTTTAGAGCGCCTTCAGCGGGTCGAACGAACGAACGAACGAACGAACGAATGAGCGAACGAACGAACGAACGTGATGTTTGACGAAAGCCTTTCAGTAAATAAATCAAATTGCTGCTCCGCTCGCTGGATGAGCTAAAAACTCTCGCCCGTGGCGCTACATGTTCGATATACTATGATTCTGATTCCGTAATGCAAATAGCGAAGTAAAAAGAAGTATCATTACTAGATGCAGGAAAAATTTCGAGCAGTGTCGCCCGTGTCCGAACGTGTCTTCTATTATAATATTTTTCTGCTGATCGATAAATAAGTAACGTGCAATGTAGAGCGCTTTCAGATCAAAGGAGTCACAATTTGTGTTAAAATTTTAGAACGCTAGTATGGATTATTAACAATTTAATCGGTTTAATTTGCTTGTATATTGATGTATATTTCTCGCAACTGCCGATATTAATTAATAACAATCAATCACGTAATTGTTCGATATAATATTTAATTAAGAATTATTTAGCTTTAGGTTAATCACATTAGTGATTTATTATAAAAGATTAGAAAAAAATGGTTCAATTCTTAATTCTAATCTAATTTATATTTATAGCTTCGTTACGCGACACGGTGGATTTCATTCGCACCTTGAACGCGTCGGGCG